AGAAGTACTATAAGTATGGGTTAATTCGTATTTACCCCGAAATTAATTACCAATATTTCTTACATAAAAAAAGGTATATACGTAGAAAGATCACTCAGAAAGATATTATGCTTATGACAGAAAAGCTAAATTAAACTTTTTCCCTTCTAATTTTATGTCCCCATATATTTGTCATTTATGTCTTATTAAAGTAGGTTAAATTCAAATTGAGTGGTCTCGGTTAGTATCCATGGAAATAGGTCAATATCGGAGTTTATAAAACCGGCCCAACGAAAAATCTTTGAATATTTCAGAGCAAGCTTTGAATTTTTAATAATTCACTCAGGTGTTTTTACCGTGCTAAAAACTAAAATAAAAAGTTTTCCGAATATATTGTTTTAGTTTTTTTTTGTACTGTGTATAATTATTTATTTATAGTCCTGATTAAAATAATTAATTAATTAATATTGCTATTTTTTACCCTTGATTTAAACATTTTACCTTTGAACAACTTCTGTGTAGTCTATACTATATCCTCTTCTGCCACCTGTTCTTCATCAAACTAAAATTAGTGGAAATATTTATCCTCCCGATACACTATTAAGCTAAAAAAATACGATAATAATACAGAAAAAAATTTAAACAAATTGTGATGATTTCACATAAATTACCTTTGAAAACTTGTAACATTTTTACTAACGTTTAGATTTAAAAAAAAATACGATACAGACGGAGATTGACACCGGCTATTCACAACGTTCCTTCCAGCTACTCTAACTTATTTGAGCTACACTGTCACGGTAGCTCAATTGCCTAGGGCAGTAGATTTTTATTTTAAAGTAGTAGTTTAAATAGGTAGTAGTTATTAGATGTTAAACTATATTAATATGTAAGCACACATCTCACGCCCAAATAACTCTATCAGAAAACCGTGGAAGCATAAACAAATCTATATTATACAATCCGTGGAAGTGTTCACACCCCCGAATAATAGCTCCCGTGAAATATTACAAAGGCAGAGTAAGTTCATTCTAGACTTGGCGGGTAATTCAATAAACACATTTGCAAGTGAAATTCGGGTTTGAATAAGGCTTCGGGAGCACCTCCATTGCCTTAGATATTATTCTATAAAGCATTCAGTTTGTTGTAATTGAATTAAGCATATTTTGTTGGAGACGATACTAAAGTTTTCGGGTGCTTGTTTGCATAATTGCCAAGACAGTCGAGTCGCTACGCTGTCTTGGGTTGTTGCTTTATTTATGGAAATCAAACGCACGTCATCATGAATGTTTGTCATATTTGTGTAAGGCTATAAGCATTTTCGAAATTTTTTATCATATTCTTGATTGTTTATTCGTTCCCGATGTTGAGACTTCGTAATACCGTCAATTGAGCTGTCTTAAAAACTATCTTCGCATGTTTAAATAAAACATTTTGACGATTTAAAACGCGATATATTTTAGTTAAACTTAATTTGAAAATTAATTTTAACCCCGGCCCGACGTTTCGAATGCTTTGCAGCAGCCGTAGTCCGACATCCACAACGTTTCTTATAACTGAGTTTAATCCAAATGTGCTACCGCGTCCTCGCTAATTCGTTTGACAATTGATATGGATGGATTGCGCATAAATTAAAACTTTAACACTTACGCGTAAGTTGTCTTACTTAATATTGGTTGGTTAAAAATAAGTCACTAAGGTCCGTGCTAATGTAGAAAAGTGTTGTAGAGCAATAAGGTCTAAATTAATAATACTGATGGGCATGTTGGTCTAATGGTATTGCAATATAGGGCTAATAACCAAGTTTAATCCCAGCCGGGTCCTTCCACCTCTTTCATAAAAATTTTCAATGCGTTATATTTTTACCGAAACATGTTAACTTCGTTATGTAGAAATCCCGGTTATAAAAAAGATCATCAAACAACCGTCCAACCAGACGAAAAAGTAAAGTTTAAAATATCGAAACAACAATTTAGATTGACAGGAATGCACAAGTGTTGCCGGGCTGCCCGCCTACCCCATCGGTAACGCAAGCTGCATTCATCTATATATAGAATGAGGTTTTCAAATCTACATTCACGTGCAATGTGCAAATTTGTCTTTCCAACTTTAGCATAAGAACATTGATCGAATACTGCTATTCCGGTGCTTAAAATATAATCGTAGCTTTATGAAAAGAACTGCCATAATAAAACTATGTTGGAAGCATACAGACCAAGACAGACCTTGCAACTTCATTGGGCGCAAAAGTACCAATATATTTAACAACTCAATCGTTTATATTGGCACGGAATTTGTCTTAAGATATTCGGAAAACAGGAACGCATATTAATGTCACGGCGTTTTCCCTATCAATATCCCTGTCAATATCCCTACGCACTAATCAAAAATATTAAGATGCTTAGGAACATGTTGGACCTATGTTTGTAAATAAAAAAAATACATTCCGCGTCTTGAACCGTTAAAAGTAATTTAGATTATCACCTGTTATTTATTTAAGAACTATGTTTAGGTAGGATTACGCCAATTAAAATGGTGCTAAAATCTGTACTCTTAAAGATGATGGTATAAGGTTTCCAGAATATCTAAAGATAGATCAAGTTGTCTTCTAACGATTAATTAAATTATTGTCGGTTCGCGTTTTAAAACCTCCTAAGTGATTTTAGTTTGTCTAGGATTTAGGAAGCTCCAGCCATGATAACTTCTAAATTATATGTCCGACCTATTTTGGCTTTGGAAGTTTATTTATTGGATACATATATAATTTGGAAAAACTTGAACCGGGGTTAAAATTTACGGCTGTCTTATTCCACAGATTTCCACCCACCACCACCACCACCCATTTAATATTTAGATATTCAGATGAATAACATATTGGACCCGGTGGGGATCCAAATCGCGACCCGCTAATTATTAGCCAAACATTGCTAACATTCGACCAATGAGCCCAAAAAAAGAGTTTTATGTTAGTTTGCGTAGAATTCTTGGCTTTAGTGCAACTGCTTAGTCATAATTCAAGAAGGATTCCCGACGATAGTACCATAAATTGCTGGGCCACTGAACCGTGAGACAGCTGAGTGCTGTGATTTTAGTGGTTCTCATAATTCAAAACCGAGTGAAAGCAAAATTTTATTCCAAGAATCATATGATAAAAATGCTTTGAACTTCCATTTATATGTAAAATAAAACTTCATAACTTTCGGCTGCTTGTTTTACAATTTTTACATTCTCCGTTCGTAAAATGGTTGTGACCACCCTTTATAACACTATAAAGAGGGGTTACTGCCATCTTTGAAAATCCAAGGCACTTCAAAGATGGCATAACAAATATATTAATAATTTAATCCAGTAATTTATAATAAAACAAATCATATTTTTTGTAACTATAATTATATCTCGTTGCCATAGTTACCTTTTGTTATTATTATTATTATTAAGAATGATAAAAATCATTTTGTACTTTTTGTAGTATACGCGAGTAGTACAAATTTAAATAAAGCTTTTTAACAGTTTATACTTTAAAAGCTCACGATGTCTACTGTAAACGTTTTATATACGTTGTATTGTAGTTTTTATGAAAGAGGAGGATAGACAAGCATAGGGACTTTATGTTAGGAAAAAATCCCAGTCATATAAATTGCAACAATATGCACTGTCAACGTATTTTGGCTTCGGATATTCGGAAATCCACTGACTGAAGCTAAACAAGGATTAAACGTCAAGGTTATATTTCGTGTTTTAAACAGTTAAATTTGTTTATTTAAATGATATACAATTCTGATGATCAATCATCAGAATCAATACCCACTAAATTGCACCAAAACACAATCGGCGGTTGGACATAAAACGGTTTATGAATCAAATCCAGCTGTAGTAAATACAGTGAACATTAATTGTGTAGAAATACAACCACGAACTGGCCCAATGATTGGGTTTGCCCTGATACCTCCAACGTCCACAAACATAATTGGGGCTTATGTTAAATTATTCCAGATAATCTCCGATACTTGTGTACAAGCGGATTGATTAAAAATATTTAATAATTATGTGAAATCCCATGTATTTCCTCGCCATATATAGGACATTCACATTTATGTGTTTGTTTTATCGATCGATGTTATTTACAGCTATTGAAGATTATTTAAACATGACTGCTTCGGGCAGCCTATTGCTGTAAGGAATCGCTTCCAAGCAGCAAGACTAAAAATAAAATTATTTTAGTAAAATAGACAACGAGTAATAAGTGCAAAACTTCCTAACTACCCACTTAAACTACTATACAAAAAACTTACTAAAATAAAATTTGATATGTACTTAATTAGAATTTATTGTCATACTTATTCGACACTATTATGTGTTTTAGGAATTTAATCCCTTAACATTATCTTATTATCTGTCACTGTACTACTACCAAAGTTTAGCATTTATGCAACTCCCTGGTCCATTTCATATAATAAATATTTTATAGAAACAATTATAAATAGATAAAAGCCAGAAATATATGTGTTCAAAAACATTCTGCCCTAAAATTTTAAAATGCAGTTAATCCGTTCGCCTCAAACAAAAGCTGTACGCTTGGAGTAAAAAATATGTTTATACGCATACATTTTTAATCTATACCTTTAACCTTATGGAGGAAATTAACGACCTGAATACGATAAATAATTCATTAACCCGGTTTAACTATTTTCACACCCAATATCTGGTCACAACCAAATGAATTTGTAAATGCAGACCCCACAAAAAAAAAAAACTATTTAATTTGAAAAAGATTTATAAGACGAGCGGACCTTGAACCAGTATCCACAGCGATCCGTGCTGTTACTCAACCCAATTGAGCTAACGTGTCTCACACATTATTGTCGCATTTCTTTAACCTATTAATACCTTCGCAATGTAATTTCAACCTTAATACTTATGAATTGAGATTCAATATCCTATATTTTGCAGCTTATGAATTAGCATATTAATATACATTATAAAGTTTTCAAACACCACTTGATGAAAGATGTTTGTTCCAGTTACGACACTCGCGTCCCAGGACCTACCGGCTATTGGTCGGACGATACATTCGGCGACAGAGCTAGGTGGATCGGCCTACCCACTTCGGCCTTGCACGTCAGCGATATACAATCTCGAGATAGAGCCATATATAGATGTCGCGTGGACTTCCAAGTGTCACCGACGAGGAATTATAGAATCGCCCTCGACGTCATTGGTAAGAATTTTTCAGCTGAACGAATATGTAATGTTAACATTACATATTATATTAGTAGCACTTGTAAGTTATTCCGAATATTTCCTCAATAAATAAGGAAATATTCAATAAAATTAAGAATAATCTATATTCATGAAACTAAATCTTTAATATTAGTAACCTGGTTACTTTATTAAGTAATTGTACATTATATTTAAGATAGAAAGCCCTAATAACGAAAAAACATGATTTTCAATAAGTAGGAAAATAATGCTCAATTAACTCAGGCGAAAATGAATGTTTAAATTTTTGGTCACTGCTCTGCTCTTGTGGATTAACATTATAAAATATAATTAAGTCAAGTCATAAAATGTCAGTTAGTCTACTCAGCATCTAGCGACTTCATTTTACAATTGTGAAAGTAGTTGTTTAGTTATCTTTGGCAAAAGTAAGCAAATAATCAGTTTGTTTTAAGCAAACAGTTAAAAATACGTTGAAAACGAAATATTATAGTTCGTAAAACAAGTAATTGTATGGTACTTTTGAGCTCTTATCTATTATTATAAACAATTAATTATGCTCTCAATTAATAACTGTCTTAAGTTTCAAGGTTCAGTTAGTACATATTATAAGTTTGTACAGCTATTAGTATTGAGGACTGACTCTAGTACCCAGTTTTGTCAAAAACGACCGCTGACTCCTCTGCAATGTAATACAATTTTCTTAGTGATATTAGGCTTGAACTAAAAAAGCGCTTAACAATCCTAAACGGTAGGATTTTAATTAAGGCTAGCCATTGTTATTTAAAAAAAACCAGCAAACCAGCAAGTGTACCCGTAAGACTAGATTCTTTAAGCTTTTGTCTGCAATGAACAGCTACCACAATAGACCTTTGGAAACTAGACGCTACAATTTCTTTAACGTATTACAAAGACAAATCTGACGTACAGTCAAGCACTTTGCCAGCACTTTTAAGATAGAATGGAAAGGTTGAATCCCCTTTGGGAAGCGACAACATCTATATCCATTTTGTTAATGTTAATGAGGTCATTATCATTGGTGATTATATTGTCATCCACTTAATATACCGGTTTCAAACCGTTAGGAACATTATTCCAATGCATTATTTATTTGTTAGTGCTTTCCTAAAACCATCTTCTTGATAAGATTAAAAAGCATTTGTTTACTCAAAATATTTAACTTGGTATAGCGTTGAAATAATCTTTTTTTATTGTACTCTTAACACGTCTAGCTTTTATTTTTTAAAGTTAATAGAACTATGCAAATGATATTAAGGTAATAAAAAGTCAAAGAAATGTTAATTTTAACATTTTAAACACGAAGTTTTTTACAAAATCTTTTTACTGTAATATTATGAAGTTGAGTATTTAAATAAAATACTTTAATGGTTTGAAACGCGAAATATATTAGTTAAAACCTGACCCACGGTCGCGGTGAGAACCTAGCCAGTTTCTCTAAATTCCAACTACAATGAAACAGTTTTTACTTTGATAATAAAGCAAACTTCTTCTTCAGTCCCTTTATCACCACGGCTGCTGAAAGTAACCCAAACGTCGGGAAGTAGTTAAATTAAAGTACAAATAAGAATATTTCGCGTTCTAAATAGTTATAAGTGTTTTATTTGTATATTACGCAATATTAATACAACGTAATAGTCAAGATGCAAGGTATGATATAAATATAAATTGCAGATTCTTGTTGTGATAATAAAATTAAAGTTCTTGTTTTTAATTATTTCTGATATATTAAGAAATCAACTATATGGTATATTACACAGTTTAAAATAACACAAACAAAAGAGAATTTAAAATGTAGAATAAACGCCAGATTTGATTATCTTTAATCAAATAAATATAATTGATCGAGGAAGTGATAATTATCCGTAACAATAATAAATTTTGTGCAATTACACTTCACGATTTTGTCATCTGTGACCTAGACGGAATTTTAAGGACGTGATTTCACGGATTATTAGCCTAGTCTATTAGCTACAATGCTACTCAATAGTAGCATTGTAGCTTGTAAATATTGTTTTAACAACGGAACGTATTTATAATCTTGTATAACCTTGTATTTATAATGGTATTATACTAAGCATATCTCTAAATATAAAGATAACTTTTATCTAATTTTCAAAATAACAACAAGAACACAGTTTGGTAATCACGATAAAAACAGAAGTGGCAATAAACTTGACCCTTCTTTATCCCGGTAACGAAGAAGAATCCATGTGTCGGCGCTGTTTTATTTCAAAAGTTTAGCTCTTAACTGAAAAGACGATACAGCTGGATGTATATTAAGTAGGCCAATGGAAATGATAACATTTTATTAAAAACGTAAGTTATGTATTGTTAAGTGATAAGTCTAATGACTATAATAAAATATACTTTATTCTCTTTAAAATTTTAAAAATTATTTAGATTCGTGAACATTTTTTTGTTTGTCTGTCTGTTTGTCGTGATTCTGCAGAGTGTTCAAAAGAGCAACATAACAGGGGCGAACACACAAGAAACTCAGTCCGGTTTATTTTTAACATATCTTAAAAACTAATACATTGTGAATTTACTAAACCTAAGGAGCAATTCATATTACTGCCAAGCGGTCTTTTCATTAAAGAAGTCGTTCAGACAATAATACGCCTTTTGAGACAATCTAAATTTTAAAACATTTTTAAATTTATTCATCGATTAATTTGAAACCTTAACTGGCAATGTATTACATACATACGAATACAATTCCCCGCAAATGAATTAGATATTTTATGGAGCCTATATTTGGGGATAGCTAGGTTATCCTTATTTCGTAAGTTCAAATTATGCCTATCACTATTCTTGCTAAACTTGCTTTTATTCTTATGGACATACAATACATTTTCATAAATATACTGCGAGTACACAGTAAGTATGCCGATATTTTTAAAGGTATCTCTTAATGACTCCCGAGATCACAAAGATACATTCAATGTCGGCAGCGTTACCCCACAGTAGTATGCCATATGTCATAACACTGTGGAAGTAGCTGAAGTAGACTAGACGCGCTGTTTTAATGTCAGTTAATTGGAAAAAAGGTTTAGTATCAAGTCAAACAATCAATTGAAAAATAATTTTATAGTAATAAGGTAATGCTGTTTGGTAATTTTAACAGTGCCCTTAGTAATATCTAAAATAAATATAACTTTTATTTTGTTACTCTTCACTCTTGCTCATGTTGAGATTAAACCGTACAATTAATGGTTCTGCCGTCTTAGTAACTACAACTTCAAGAATATTTTTTACGCATTATAATCAAACAGTGACTTATAAAGCATATTTATTATTCCTAATGTATAGGGATAGTTACTCTGACTCTTCTAGTGTGTAAATGCAAGATATATTTTCAAAAAGTGATTCGTGTAATTTTCTGAGAAATAAAGATTTTTAAACGGTATGTCTCCCATCAGCAGATTATGATTTCGAATTCTACCGAGTCCCACGTGTTTCTAATCAACTTTTAATATTCCTAAATAGTGTTGAAATCGGTATGGAATATCTGGAAATTAAATTAGTGGTAGGAATATAGAGTTAATCGCGTTTCGGTTGTAGTCTGTCGATTTATGAATATGAAAAGCCAAGATAGGTCATAAACGCTTGTTTTAAAAGAATGCATCAGGGGCTCTTGACTTATGTAATCTTTAAAATCTACTCAGTTACCAGTCTCAAAAACCGAAGTATTTGTATAACGCCGTTTCAAAGGAAGTGAAGAGAAATTTTATCACACTCTTAACACGCCGAACGAAGTGTACACGTAAATAACGCCACTAAGAACTCCGCGATGCTAAAACATTCCCGGTATCTAGCAAAGCCTTACGTCGCGATAACAGTTGCAACGACTTTATAAGTTCCAACTAAATAGTTTAGTAGCGTCAAATTAAATGCACGATACAATTCGAAGAAGTTTGTATATGAAACGACACCATTTTTAAGACAGAATAGGACACATAAGCATGTGAAGCACTTGATGGAAAGTGTAGTAGATATAGTAGAGAGTCGACCTATTTTGTTTTTTGTATTTAGATTTAATTCCTTTGATAAATATTTAAACTAATCTTATCCCCACATCGCCTCGTTGGTCTCTGGACTGTTGTTTATATGTTTCCTTAATAATATTCTATATAATACAAAGATAAATATAAAATATATATGTACTGTTCCTTTGTATAATTATGTAGTATTTTCTACATTTATTATGAGGAAATCACTAACGCGAGTCATCATAAGTAGGTCAGATGTGTCCCCGTGACCACGGCCGCTGCAAAGCATCAAAAACGTCGGGCCGTAGTTAAAATAATGTTTAATATAAGTTTAACAAATATCTATCACATTTTAAGCCGTTAAAGTGGTTTATTTAAATAGGTCAGATCGACTAGAATATTAGGGACTATATAATTTAAAAAACGACAGTAAATTGAAAAAAAATTCGACTCGGGCTTGAACCGGCATCGTCAGCGTTCAGTGCTGTTGCTCTACCAATTGAGCTAGCGAGTCAGTGGTATTAACAATAATTCATTTTAATAAGTTAACTACATACGTATATTGTAATTTAAACCAATAAAAATGTTTTATTCAAATCTTCCTACATTTAAAAAGTCCCACGCAAAGTTTTCGTACAATGAAGGTCAAGTTAATGAATACCTTATTTTAATTAAAGGAGAATCTTGCTATCATCTTTATTTGAAGAAAACGAAATATTCTACAGCGTCATGATAGCCGTCTGTTGTGTAATCCTTAGCATTATCCCGGGAAAATCAAGGATTTTTACGAGTAATTCCCGGGAAAAGTTTTGTTTTTTTGTTTGGACAACAACTTTTTTATTGGCGGAAATAAAGAACCTTTTGCTGAATCTTGTTTTTCTTGTAAAGAATGATTAAAATCTATATTGGCTAAGTTTGATGAATGTAAATTCATACGTCTTTGCTTGTTTTTATTTTCAATCTTTGTTTTAAGTTTTCCAATATGATTAGA